CAGATCCGGAGGAGTGAGCATCCGGATTGGTCCATAACCTCGTGAATGGGATCCTTAAGGGAAATCCGGTTCACAACCTTGGTCAGCTCCGCCTGAACGGCATCCAGTTTGGCAGCCCCGTCCGAGCGAGGGAGGTCAGTGAAGAGGGGATCAGTGTGAGCAGCCTCAAACTGAGGATTGATCTCCATGTGCTCCAATGAATCTGATCAACAGGCACCTGCTGTATAGGCTAGGTCTCATGGGCCACCGGCTGGGAGGGCCCAACGTCCCTTGTTCGGAGCGCCTTCTTGGCTGGCGTCTTCCTCTTATCAGCGCCCATAGGTGCAAGATGACCGAGATCCATTGACTCTTTGGTGTTGGGAACTAAAAAGGAATAAATGGAAATGTTAGTACCGAGCGGTCTTAGCGTGTGTGAAACAAGCATATGTAAGTTTCTCGCACGGGAAGGACCGCCCGGGCCATGGCACTTGGTTTTTAGTCAAGAGTCCCAAGAATTCAGATGGTACCTATCCCGACTTCCACAAGCCGGACGGGAGTCAAGTAAGCCATGATATCGAGCGTCTCGGCCCTCTCTACTGCAACGATTTTCTGTTCTAACTCCTTGGAGATAAGGGACTCGGTGGATTTAGGTGGGTAGGCATTCCACCTCTTAGGGATAAGGCCGTCCGGGACAGAGACAAAGAAAAAACGATCTTTACCTCCCTTGATGGAAGTAAGGTTCCCCTTGAAGAGGATCCTTTTCGTTCAGGCACTCACTGCTAGGAATCCGTCAGTTTGTTGGGGGCAACCTTGAAGAAGTAATGGAAGAGATCCAGAACGGGCTCCAAGTTAACATCTTTGCAACGACATATGAACCCGGCTATGACCCGATAGGAATTCGGCATTACTTGGGCCGAGACTATTTGGTAGTGGTTGAAAAAGGCCACGAAGAAAGGGTGCAGCGGGAATCTTAGCCCAGCCTTAACAGAATCAAAATGCACCACCGCCATCCCAGGGTGGTGGCGCATGGGATGGAGACCAGCGTGAAGACAGAAGTCAATCGGGTCAGGAATAATGGCAGGAACTTGAGCCCTAAGTTTGTTAGACAACTTTTGTCTCTGATTTCGGATGGGACTCAAGTACGAGGGGCATCATCAAGAGGGCCTGCTCTCATTACCGTCATATCATCCCCAGATATGGCGTCATCAGAATCGCTACTAGACGCATCATCGGAGGAATCGCTAGGATCGGCATCCTCGGAACCATTGGCGGGAGAAGAGGTTCCTGCCACATCCTCTGCGGCACCCCTGATGCCCGCAACATCGTTTGCCTAGGTATTCTCCTCTGAACCTCGGAGCGATTCGATGACCGAAGGGTCGGAAGGGCTAGAGCTCGAAGACATTTGCACCAAACCAAGGAATGAAGAAAAGGAAGAAGATGACAGAGGACTGGTGGTTACCTGACCGAAATGCGAAATTAGGGATTTGGAAAGAAGGCAGAGTACTTGAGCGAAGGGGCAAAAATCCGAAAACCCAGAACCAGAGCCCAAAATCCCTACTTATGGACTAGAGGCGCCGTTACACCAACCAGTCACAAAGTGACACGTGGCAAGAGACGCTCCAAGGGACACGTGTCGCACGGAGGCGAAACGACAGGTAATCATGACAGTTACATAAGGAATACAAACGACAGGCATCAAAGGACTTCGAACCGTCATGTCAGGAGCAGGCAAACACTAGCAAAGAGCACCGTACGAGATCACACCGAACGGCGGGAAGCTTACTGTTCAACTTCCTCATGTCCTGAGCACGCTCGGAACATCGAAAATGGGGGACTTGTGATGGGATATTAAGGTCCGGCCCAACATACCGACCTAGAATATCCCTAGGGCCCAGACGCAAGGAGAAGCCCAAAGGAAGTCATAGGCCCTGAACGGGAGTTCGGCACATCCATAAGGCCCAAAACACAAGGGGTATCCCAGAAGAAGTCATTGGGCCCGAACGGAGATTGAGTGACTAAAGGAAAGTCCCGTTCGGCACCTCCTGAATGGGATATAATTAACACTTGGGAAATCGATTTACTATCGAGTCAGGGGCTTAGTGGATCTCAATTCCGAACGAGGTTTTGGTCAAGTGGCAGATTGCATTTAATGCTGAGATATGGGGACCGCAAGTGGGAGCATGGGTGCACAAGTGACATGGAAAGCAACCAATCATCTTAGAGCAGCTCATACCCCTCACCTACACTCTTCCAGTATAAATAGCACCATTTATTTCATTGTGAGGGGTTAGCATTTGATTACTCACTAGCTCTTATTACATTCTAAGCTCTTGTATTAGCTGTTGGGTCGTAACTACCGTTCGGCCATTTCCCTTGCAATCATAAATTACTGAGTTAATACAAGCAGGGCTATTCGAGTAAAATCCATCAGCTTTTATATTTCTTTTATACACTTTTACTGTGGCAATTTTACCCTAGATCCAAGGTTGGTGTTGGGCCTTCGGGTCGTTCGGGACTTAAACTCAACACCAACATTTCAATAATATAGAGGAAAATGAAGAATTCAAAATTATTTTGATATTATAAAGTAATACGGTTTTTGTGTAATTAACGGTCAAAGTTTACAAAGTTTGACTTAAAAAGTCAAAGTGTAAACTTAAATACGGGACGGAGGGAGTATGATATAGTTTATCGTTTACTATTAGTGATTTAGGGCATAGGTTTGACTATTTTTAATGAAAATGTATTAATATTATAATTTTAAGTGATGTAATTGAAATTGAAAAAATAAATGTGAACTTTTGATAACAATTTCCATCGTCATTTCAAATCTGTGCACACTTTTCTACATGTTTTACGATTTCCATTATATCACTTAAAATGATACTCCATTCGTTTCATATTGAGTAAAAAATTTGACTTTTTAAGTCAACTAGATTCATTTTATCCAATTAATTAGGATATCAATTCTTAATTAAAATCTAATTTGAACTTTGCAAATTTATAGAGATTTCAATGTAGTTTATGAATATGTAAATTATGATAATTAAAATTGAATTAATTATCAATAGGGATGATTAAATTGTAACATTGGTTGATAAAAAAAAAAATTTACTTTTCAAATCAATTTGGGATGGAGGTAGTAATATTAATACTTGTTCATTATAAATAGCCAAAACCTCCAAAACCTATACCTCAAATCACTAAAATTAAACGATAAACTATATAATACGCAATATAAGTTATACTACCTCCGTCCCTTTAAAATTTGCCAAAGTTGATCGGCACGGAGAATAATAAAGTAAAAACTGTGTGGTTGAGATTTATGCAGAGGAGAGAGAAATAACATAAACCACAAAATAATTGATTAAAAGAGAAAGTGGCAAAGTTTTTTGGGACGTCCCAAAAAGGAAAGATGGCAAAGTTTTAAGGGAAGGAGGGAGTACAATTTATTAATATAAAATAAAGAAAGATTTAGATTTTTATAATTAAGATAGCATAAAATTTTAAATAAAATATATTTTCATGAAAAAAACTAGAATAAAGCTCTAAATCATAAATTTTTTAATCACAATTGAAAACAAAAACTAAATTTGAATAAACTAAAATAATACACAAATCACAATTTGGCATCACAATTGGAAAAACAAATTGAAAAGGGAAAAAAATAAATTTTAGTGAAAATAAATCAAAAAAATTCTAAAAAGTATTTTATGTAACTTCACTACTGTTGGGTTTATTCGACGCAGTCCGGAAGTCCAACACCTCTTCCGGGAGGGTTTCGTAGCATGTTGATGATAACAAGATATAAACGATGATTTTAACGTGGAAACCCCGAAAGGGAGAAAACCACGAGACTTTTTAGGCTAGTGTCCAAGTCACTCTCATTCTCATTAATCTCTCCTCACCATTGCAATGTACAAGTTTGAAGCTTCCATTAATGGAGGTTGCTAACTAGCTATTCTAGAGAGGAGGAGGAAGTGGGGAAGAAGAAACCAATCCTAAAAGGGATCCTTGATAAGGAAAGGAGGGGAAACCCCCATATTAATAGGGGAATGGGGAGAGGGAGCAAGGCTACCCTAATGGGCCGAGTGGGCCGAGATGGGCCCAAAGGGCTGAAACAGGCCTGATGGGCTGAAACGACCCTCGTCGGCTGGGCTCTGTATTGGGGCGATGCTTTGGGCTCCGGAACAGTAACAGATCGGGATAATATACCTCAACAACTACATTTGTAGAATTTTCATAATTAGTTTTACATGTTTAAAAGTATTAGTTTTGTAAATTTATAAAAATGTCTCCATATTCTGAAAATTTAGAGTTAATAATTAGGATTAATAAAAAAATCAACTATAGTTGGAATTGTTTATGGCGTACACATACGAAATATTTAAAACTGATCAGCTATACCAGGTTGTAGCCGATTAGGAACTATTGTCAAAAAATAGTCCTTGCAATTGGACTCCCATGAATTATTATCAGCGAATCGACAATAGTTGGAATTATTATTTTAAATTTTTCCTATTTGTTATACTATATTTATTTATAATTATTACAGTAGTCTATAATACAAATGTATAGCCTTTTAAACTTTTAAATTTTTAGAAAAGAGTTAATTCTATACTTTTTGCACTTCATAAACTCTAATTTACATATCAAAGTTTTATTTTCTTAAATTTGTAATTTGGATTTATTTTATTTAACTAGTATTATAATTTTGATATAAACTTTATGCTTTTATTGCAATTTATTTATTTAAAAATATTTCTAATTTTTGTATCTTTTTTCTTATAAATCATCTCTCATTTTTTGTTACAATGTTGATTTTTTCATTAACTAGTCTCTATCTTGTAATTTCCTTTTTAGCTCACTTTGACACTTGTAAATGACCTAAAAAGGATAAATATATTAAAAAATTCATTTTTATTTATTTGTGAACATTTCAGATGATTTTTCAAGCCTAATAAAAATGGATTGATCTAGATTATTATGGTGTGAACCAACCGGTCACATTAGACCATTATTGATAAAGGATCTTTATACTTGGGGTTGTTCTAGAATAACCAATATTATTCATAACAGATTGACAATAATTGAGATTATTTTAATAAATTTTTCTAAAACAATTGAACTTGACTAGCCTATTTTGGTTCTATAGATTCGGAATTGATACTGGTATCATTTTTATGTTGGTTCGGTTTTGATACAGATTTGCCAACTTTGAGAATTATATGCTTCAAGTACTCAATTGTGTTACACACCGGTTTACACACCCAAGTGTAATTATCTGCGCACAGACAATTGATTTTAATTGTAGTAAAGGGAAACATTTGTGATCCCGAATTGACTGCACACAGACGATTCTTTTTTGGGTCACAGACACTTCCCTTTACTAACATTAAAACCAATTGTTTGTGCACGTACAATTGCACTTGGGCATGTAAACCGGCGTCTAAACGAGCGTGTACAAGTACCATTTTTCTTAAGCACTTCATCCTTGTATGAGCTGGACCGAGCACTAACCATTCTTCCATGGTGCTGCGAATTATGTAAAAGGATAAGATCCTTAGCTTGCACAATGTAACCCACACCCAAATGATTTTTTTTAGCAAAAGTAGGGTCATATTCAAAGTAGGGTCTATAGATGGGGATGAAGTGGTGACGTGCCTAACTTCTCATAGCCTGGGCCGATTGAGCGGTGGCTATCATTTGAGCCATGATACAAGCATACTGAACAGCTGTGTGCTGAGAAGAGTACTGATCAGCAAGGGCAAACTCTGTGAAGTTTGGTTCAATATGCACAAAATGGCCTGGCAGCGATCTCTTTGAGAGAGCCTCCTTCCATATATCAAAAAACTCTCCCATGATTTGGTGTGATGTTTCCCATGAAGAAATTGGAAGATACTCCATCTATAAAAGAAGCAAACACTATGCTCATTAGTGTCCGCAAGCAATCTACCACACAACTATCAATCTTGCTATGATGCTGTTGAATTATAGTTTGAGAAAAAGGTGTATTTGACAGCCTCACCAAGAAGACCATACATCAAAGGGAATAAAACCGGTGTAGATGGATTTTTTGCCCTGTTAAGAGAACTGGTGCCCAATTGTGCACCTTATTTATTATGGCAATCCAACTCTCTTCGGAATTGGTTCCTCTTTACAAACCATGTAAATTTTACAAACACTAATCGTAATTGGTTCCTCGAATCAAGCCAAGTCATTACATACTCAAAGATAGAAACAGGAATAGAGCACACCACATTTGAGACTGATTCGTATGTCCAAAACCAGATATAATATAAATTATTAACCCCTAAATATAAATATAATAAACTAGTGAATCTAAAATAATATACTACCTCCGTCCCATAAAATAAGTCCCACTTCAATTTGGATCGGAGTTTAAGAAAGTGGAAATAAAGTGAAAATGTATGATTGTGGTTGAGTAAGAAAAAGGTAAATGAATGTTAGCCACACAAAACTTTCCAAAAAGGGAAATGGGAACAATTTTTTGGGACGGCCCAAAAAGGAAAGTGGGACTTATTTTATGGGACGGAGGGAGTAGTAAACTAGTAAACCTTATTCAGATTTCTGTCAAAACTTGGGGATTTTGTTTGTAATGAATCAATATGTGTATTTTTTATTATTGAAATTTCTACCTATTTGGGTTAAGAGAATGAGACAGGTTGAAAGGATATTTTGCAGATAGGACAAGATGGGAACAAATGAACAATAAATAAAACAGATTTTGGCCTTTGAGGTAGTCAAAATCAAGCGGGTTTGGGACGGGAATTTAAACAGGTTTGATGCCTCTTTTACATAGCAATCTGCCATTGTACCACAAGGGGATGAAATTAAATAGAAGCGACACATATTAAATATGGTGGACAGAAATGCAAGGCATTGTGATAAAGAAATAAAAATGAAATATAATAAATTAATGGACAGAAAGGAAAGATAGAATGAGAGTCAAGAGAGAACTCCCCAACGGCCCCCAGAAACCCTCCTTCAAAATGCCCTTCCCCCTCAGCAAAGCTTAAAGTATCCCAAACTATTAAACTAATGTACCCCACTTCTAAGAGGAAGGCCCTTATTTATAGCCTAATACGAGAATGTAAACACGGTGAAACCCTGAAATATAAATAATAATCAATTATTCCTGATATCATGATTTATTGCGAGAATCTACCATTCAAGAAAAATCTAATTTAGTTTAATCCTTTTATTATTCATTCTTTGATTTGTCTTCATTGATTCTCTGATTGCTTTCCGCATCTAAAGGTCGGAATGTATGTCTATCACATTGTGATTATTGCAAAAAGTCTGGTAACATAAAGGATACGTGTTGGAAACTTTATGGTAAGAAGACACACAAATGATCTCCCATCCGATCAGGGCTTTCCCTGTTTGTCTTGTTTGTTGGAGAACTATTTATATCCTGCTATATATGCTATCTGCTAGAAATTTACATATTATTAACAATAAAGTAATAATTTTTAAACATAAACCTCAATAACAGCCAAAACTGGTAACAGAACCAGTTAGCATTATTGCACGGGTTGAATGTTAAAAATAATAGAAAAGAAAAAGAAGCAAGGGGTCAGGTAGGGTAAGCCTACCCGATAGGGGCAGGAGAGCATCATCAGCAAAGCAAGAGGACGGACTCCCAAACATTCTTGAATAACTCTGGTAATAACTCTTGTTCCTCGAACAACAAAATGTCGCATACTGCTCGTCGCCCCAATGTTAGAACTCCACACGAATAACAATCCCAGAATAAGGGAAAACAATTCACAGAAAACAGTAAACCTCCATTACTGACGGAAAACAGAGTACAAGGTCCCAAAGAAGGAGATAATACTCCAACTTCCCAGTCCCAGACCAAATGAGTCTAAACTCCTTCTCTATTTCCCCCAGTCTATTCTATTTATACTACTCTAGCTATTACTCTTCTTATTTACTCTTATTCTACTAGGTCCCTAACATATCTCCCCCCCTAAACAACCACCTTGCCCTCAAGGTGGGCGATAGGAAACAGCCACAATCTTATGCTTCCTCTTCCTCCTGGCGCTTCTACCTTCCCAATATCTCACTGGTTTCAGAGCAAAGAGTTTTAGTACATAATCTTTCCAACTCCCAAATTTTTCTGCAGCATAGAATATTTCTGTTGAAATTTTATTCTCTTCACTAGCTTTTAAGCCTTCAATAGCCACAAGTATTTTCTTTTCTTCCTGAGGTGTATCACCTACACCCTTAGCAGAATTTATGTTCATGCCCTGAACCTCTTGGCCAGTGTGATGCAACACTGAAACCAAGCAAAATTTAGTGCCTGAGAATACAAAACCAACTCTTTCAGCACCAAATGCATCAGTCATAATTCTGTGGATCCCCATTCTGAGTACAGCTTCATTTCCTTCTATCACCATCATTTCATTAATTGCTCCATTTGTAACAGTAATGAAGTATGGCAGCCAATCCCTATTCTCATTAGTCACTGCAAAGTATTTCTGGTGCTTCTGCATGACCATTATCAGTAATTCTCTAGGAAGCTCTAGGAAGGTGTCCATAAATTTTCCAAGTACTGACATACATGCCTCAACAAGATTTCCAACTTCATTAATTAAACCAGTCTGCACAATAGGATATCTATTTAAACTCTTTGAAAAATCATGGGACTGCTCCAATATAAACTTTTTGGATTGATCATCATCAACAAAATTCCCAGCATGTTGCCTCAGAACGCCATAAGATGCTGCATCTACTACCACTACAGTGGCAGATGGAGTGATATGTAGACCATTCAAAACATATCCACTGAAGGGGTTGCTACGAGTGAGGGAATGGGTCATTGCTCCAGCTGTCTTTGCAGATATGTCACCCCACATGAGATGACTTTCAGTTGCTTTAAATTGAGTATGTAAGTCAAGCTTGGAGTAGTCTAACATGCTCTCAACCCATGGCTGCAATTCTGCTTCTTGTATTTCAAGGTGTTGGGCATGGCTAGACTTATCAGCATCCTGAATCTGTGTGCGGTTTCCCCAGATGATAGCAGATTCTTCAGAAAAAAGATAAACATGATCCTTATGAACCTCTGGTCCCGACCTCTTTTGTTCCAGGCCTAAATTTTCTGAAAACATTTCCTTTGGATATTGAGGTTGTTGTCTTTTTACAAGAACAGTTTTATTTTCTGTAATGTCCTTGATTTTAGGAAATCCAATTTCAGAAACCATTAGAACTCTACTGCCAAAGAAACATGGGTGGATAAGCAGATCCACCATAAAAACTTGGTTGGGAATTAAATCCATATCGTCTGCAAGATTAGGAGAAACATAATCTTGCCATTGGATAGTCTGTCCTTGCTTCTCGATTTCGTCCTTCTTATTTATTTTCTTGATTACAGATTCGGTTGGCTCCATCCCAGTCTTATTTATTGACTGCGAGAAATCTTTAGCAGGTTGAGAAACTTGCGAACTCAGCAATTCAGATACGCTAAGATTTGTGAGTTTCCGTAAGCGAAGATGCCTGTGGACTGAAAGAATAGTCCGGCGATGAAGATGAAGATTCTCCTCTCACTCGGGTCTTTCTTGTACGTGACTTAATAGCCGCTGAGTCAGTCTGCGAAGGGAGAGAAACTGTTCGCGACTGAGAACAGTGAGAAGAGATTCGCGAGAGCGAACCAAGAGAAGTATTTTGCGACTCTGTATGCGAAGTGTTGAACGACTGCGACGATTTGTGTGTGTCAGATATCGGAAGGTGCCTAGTCTTCCCCGATCGTTCTCCAAGTCCTCTGCGACGCGAACCTTGCGAAGAATTTGTATGATGCGATCGACTCTTCGAACCACCTTCAAGTCTATTTTGTATTTCCGCGATGCTAACTTGCATATCGGCCATCGTCGTCTCCATTTTATCTTGCCTTGCTGCAGTTTCTCTCAAGCTTCTGGCCATATCAGTCAAGTTCCTCTCTACTTCTGTCATTCTTCCGTCCATCTTAGCACGAGTTGGTCTCATCCAGAGATCGTCGTGCTCTGATACCACTGTTAGAACTCCACACGAATAACAATCCCAGAATAAGGGAAAACAATTCACAGAAAACAGTAAACCTCCATTACTGACGGAAAACAGAGTACAAGGTCCCAAAGAAGGAGATAATACTCCAACTTCCCAGTCCCAGACCAAATGAGTCTAAACTCCTCTATTTTCCCCAGTCTATTCTATTTATACTACTCTAGCTATTACTCTTCTTATTTACTCTTATTCTACTAGGTCCCTAACACCCAATCAGGATTCAGGACCTAGTGTGCTTGATTCAGGTTGACTAGAGCCTAACTATGGTATATCTCTTACATAATTCCTCTCTATAAGATCAACTCACACCATCCAATTTTCTTCCTTCCATCATTTTTGTTGATGGATATGAAAGTACAGCTTTTTGATTTGGTAAAGAACCGCCTCTTCCTACTCTACATCTGTCAGTCATCCTTTGTGTAGTCAAATGTCCCTTCAGCTTAGTTTCAGTTTACCAGCTTCCCTAATCTCTAGATTGCTCAATTACTTTCCTTTTATTCTGTTATTGTGAAGGAACATTGTTCAGGGAAAAGATTTCTTTGGCTAAATGTTATCAATATCACAATATTGTATTTGTATTTTCTTTTTCTGTAACTTGATTGCAAGGGAAAGAGGCAACATGTTGTTTCAAAATCAAGTGGAGAATCAGTATAAATCAATTACACTAAAGCATGCAAATGAATTAATCTTGTTAAATCATTTTCTTAAATGAGTTGAGGTCATGTGAGTTGGGGCCTCTGCTGCTCATTTGTGAAAACTAAGCAGCATTACATATTACATCCAATTCGGCATTTCATGGGAGAACGGAAGACATTGAGGTAGTTCGTCATTTTGTTTGAGAGAATTTAGTATTTCAAGAAATTGAAACCATGTTTGTGGACTCAAATGATCAGCTAGTGGATATCTTTGCCAATTTTTTGGAGAACCATGGATCAAATATATTTGCAACAAGCCAGAGCATATGATATTCACCCTTCCGGTTGATGGGAAGTGTTAAGAGATGAAAATGGTTGATTAATTTGGCTGGATGTTATTAGCATCACAATAATGTATGTTCTTTTTCTGCAACTCTATTGCAAAGGAAAGAGATCACATGTTGTTTCAAAATCAAGTGAAGAATCAGTACCAATCAATGGGACTAGAGCATGCAAACGAATTAACTTATTAAAACGTTTTCTTAAAGGGGGAATTTGACTTTGCACCCCACTTTTTGGGTGATATTGGACTTTGCACCCCATTTTGAAAAAACTTTGATTTTTCACCCCAACACATAACATTTTGTGAAGAAATATTTCTGAATGGGGTGCAAAGTCAAAGGAATTTTAAGTGGAATGGGGTGCAAAGTCAAAGTTTTTTGAAAAATGGGGTGCAAAGTCCAATATCACCCAAAAAGTGGGGTGCAAAGTCGAATTCCCCCTTTCTTAAATGAGTTAAGATTATGTGAGTTGGGTACCATAAAAAAAGATTATGTGAGTTGGGTACCATAAAAAAAGATTACGTGAGTTGGGGCCTACACTTCTCATTTGTGAAAACTAAGCAGCATTACATATTACATCCAATTAGGCATTTCATGGGAGAACGAAAGACATTGAAGTAGTTTATCATTTAACTCGTTTTGTTTGAGGGGAAAATACTATTTGAAGAAATTGAAACCATATTTGTGGACTCAAATGATCAGCTAGTGGATATTTTAACCATTTTTTAGAGAACCATGGATCAAATACATTTGCAACAAGCCAGAGCATATGATATTCACCCCCAGGTTGATGGGAAATGTTAAAAGATGAAAAAGGTTGATTGGGCTTGCTTGGGGTACAATGTATGTCAATGCTAAAAGGAAAGTTGGTCGACATTGAAAAGTGAAAGTATGATACAAACTCTTTCTTCTCTTCTCAACAAGCCCTAATCTTCTAATTCCTTCATTTAGGCCTTTAAAGGCAGTATAGTTTACAACCACCCAAACTCCTGACAGTGTGCTTCAATCAAGCAGGGGAAGATTTAACAAACTAATAAAGAAGAGAACAGGAAGGGATTATAGAGAAGACAGGAAGGGATCAAACGCTTTATGGAACTTTTAAATCCTTGAGGCAAAACTCATAAGCACTTGAAGATCTCAAGCCAGCATTTACTAACTAGTGTCTGTTACCCTGTTCAGTTACTGTTTACTTCATTTCAGTTATCAACTATCAACAATTGTCAAAACATGTAGTTAAAATTTTGTCACATATTGGTCTGAGAAAATATGGTCAGAACTCACAAGCACGAGACAATACACATAATGGCAAAATAGTAATTTTTATTTTTCTTGAAAGAAAACGATACAAAATGATAAAATAGTTCCGAGCATGCCTCATTGATCAACCTAGAAGCTTGATTATGAATAAGAAGAAAGGGATAATAAGTACCTCCATTACTATTCCCCTCAAAGCCTCAGTGTGAATTGGGACAACTTTTCCCACTCGCAGCCGAAAGTCACCAAGTTGGTATTGAAGCCCCTGAATAAGTAAGATGCATTAGCGCAAACTGTATGATGCAAGCACACAACATATGATAATAAAAAAATATGCAATGAGACCAGGGTGTCACAAGGTCTTGTGTATGTGATACAACACATTGCTTGTACATTTCCTTTCCCTAGTTTATGTTTGTATGTTGATTAATTCACTGCAATAACAACAATAACATTCAAGCCTTAGTCCCAAAAGATTTTGGAGTCGGCTAACATGAATCGATACATGATATCGGAGCCAAAAAGAAAAGAAAGATAAGAAAAATAAAAAGATAAGGTATTATAAAAAAAGATAAGAAAAAATGAGATAAGATATACACAAAAAATGCTAAGATAAAAAAGATACAACAACAACAACAACATTCAAGCCTTAATCCCAAAAGAATTTGGGGTCGGCTAACATGAATCGATCTATGATATCAATGCCAAACAGAGAAGACAGACAAAAGGGAAGAAGAAAAAGAAGAAGTAAGATAAAACGGATAAAAATAAAAGATAAATAAATATAAGATAACAATAACATAAGAATATAAGAAAGAAAAGATAAAAAGATAAGAGCACCAAAAAGCTGGCAAATAAAAATAACATAAGAATATAAAAAGATAAAGAAGATAAACAATAAAAGAAAAGAGAGAAGAAAGGTAGAAAAGACATAAATCGTCCACACGGATGTGCACCCTCCACTTTGCTCTCTCCAAAACCATACTCTCATCCAACCCAAGAAGACGCATATCAATTCTGATTCCTCTAATCCAAGTCTGTTTAGGTCTTCCCTCCCTCTCTTCCCTGCCTCTTCTCCCCACCCCTCAAGTCATCTAACAGGTGCATCACTCAGTCTTCTATGCACATGCCCAAACCACCGCAAACGAGACTCTTGCATCTTATCTTCTATAGGTATTACTCCAACCTTTTGTCTGACTATCTCATTTCTCAAACGGTCTTTTCTGGTATGTCCACACATCCAACGCAACATACGCATCTCTTCCACACTCATCTTTTGGATGTGGCATTGTTTCACCGCCCAACACTCTACGCCATACATTGATGCAAGCCTAATTGTTGTTCGATAAAATTTACCTTTCAGTCTAGTCGGCATTACCTTGATCGCATATAAATCCTGATGCACTCTTCCATTTCATCCACCCAGCTCTGATTCTATGACATACATCTCCATCTAATTCACCATCTTTCTGAACTATGGAGCCCAAATACGGAACATATCGCACACCAGTATCTCCTTACCATCAAGAGTAATCCCACTGTTGTTATTACTTCTACCTCCACCAAACTTGCACTCCATATACTCAGTCTAGCTTTGTCTCAGTCTGAAACCCTTAATAGCAACAGTGGGATTACTCTTGATGGTAAGGAGATACCGATGTGTGATATGTTAAAGAAGATAAAGGGAAAAAAGATGGTAAGAGATCAATCTGCCACACGAATATGCACCCTCCACTTTTGCTCTCTCTAAAGTCATATTCTCATCCAATCCAAGAAGAATCATATCACTACTGACTCCTCTAATTCACGTCTGTTTGGATCTTCCTCTCACTAACCTCCTACCTCTTGTCCACACTTTTCAAATTGTTTAACAGGTGCACCGCCCAGTTTACTACGCACATGACCAAACCACCACAATCGAGACTCCCGGTCTGATCTTCAATAGGTGTTATTCTCACTTTTAATCTGAATGTCTCATTCCTCATGTGGTTCTTTCTAGTATGCCCACACATCCAACGCAGCATGCGCATCTCTATCACACTCATCTTTTGAATGTGACATTGTTTCATCACCCAACACTTTACGCCATACAGTAATGCAGGCCTAATTGTTGTTCGATAAAATTTATCCTTCAGTCTAGTCGACATACCTCGATCACATAGGAATTCTGGAGTACTCTTCCATTTCATTCACCTTGTTCTAATTCTATGGGATACATCTCTATCTAGTTCACCGTCCTCAACTTGGAGCCCAAGTAAGGGGTATATATACCCCTGAGCGATATCTCTTTACCGGCCACGGTAATCCCATTGTTCCCACTGCTTCTACCTCAACCAAACTGGCACTCCATTTACTCTGTCTTGTTTCAACTTAGTCTGAAACTTTTCTTCTCCAATGTTTGTCACTATATTTCCAACTTTGCTTTAACACCCGATTGTGTTTCATCAATCAATACAATATCGTCATCAAATATCACGTACCAAGGAATATCGTCTTGAATTGAATTCATAATAATTTATCCATGACTATAGCAAATAAGAAAGGATTTAGAGTTGATCCTTGATGCACTCCGATAGTAATGAGAACTCTACAGCCCTCCCTACACTAATACGTGCATTTGTAGTACAATTTCCATACATATTCATGATGATGTTGAATATACTTACATGATATTCTTTATCTAGGTAAAGCCTACCAAAGGATTTTTGAGGTACCCTGTATTCAACATCAAACATAGATACTTGCTAATGTCTCTATACTTCTCCACAAATTGCTTAACAAGGTGAATAACCTTGGTTGTTGAGTGACCCGACATAAAACCGAAATGATTACACGAAATCTTCACACTTCTTTGGAGCCTTCGCTTAATCACTCACTCTCAATGTTTCATGGTGCGACTCATAAGCTCAATCCCTCGATGGTTGGCACATTCTTGTACATCAATGTTATTCTTAAATAAGGGAGTACTCTTCCACCAACTCACCAACTCACTGGCATTTTATTGTTTCTCCAAATCTTGTTGAAGAAACGTGTTAACCACTCCATGCCTCTCTCTCCCAAACCTCTCCCAACCTCGACCGGTATGTCATCTGAACCCACCTTTCTCACAGTCTCTTTAACTTGTGTCATTTGGATCCTTCTCTGAGCTAAGTAGTGCATATATATATATATATAAAAAAGTATGACCTCTACTTCTCTTTTATTTTCTCGTCCTCCATTAGTACCCTTTAGAGGATAATGTAATCCCATGCCTCACAAATCAATAATAAAAGCAATTATACATACATATGCACATTAAATTCAGGCAAGTGCACCGTTGAGTCTTGGAGTGTGGAGAGTTAAAGAGAAGTCTGTGTTGATAGAAAAATCACTTGGGTTTTATGATTATAAAAAAAGCATTCATTTTTTCCTATTTCAAATTTCTTTTTTTATTCAGACCATTGGGTTGTTGATGAACATGTGGTGTGTGATAGAAAGGAATAGAAAAGAAAAAGAAATTCAGGGGATGACCTTGATGAATTTTCTGTTGGTTTATGTAAATTGTAATCAACCCCATTGAATTGGGAATAAAGCTTGGTTGTTGTATCCAATTACAACAAAACTGTTGCTTGATATGAACTCACCAATTTGAAGCGCAATATGAAAGATAAAGTTCATAAGTTGCAAATCCCAATTTACCTCAAAATTAAGTGCAACTCTAGTTTTATATGACTGGAGCTTCTCCATAATAGTCTGGATTGATGATTCTGCTTCCATAACTAGGCGTTGCCCTCTAAGCACAAAGTAATACTTGCCAGACTGTTCTTGAAGTGAAATCCCCAAAAATTCACGCGGAAACTCATTGGCATTAGCTTGGTCTGGTATAAAGAACAAGTAAAAAAACAAATACAGCACGGAAAATAATAGTTTCATCCAACTCTGCATTTTTAGCTTAAAAACTTCAAAGTAAAATGCCCCTCTCACATGTGCACGGATGTTTAAACCTAGCAAAAATCTCTTTCTTTCCTTACAAGGGTTGGGATGTTGGATCGGTCAGGATTTGAATCATATTTGATCAAATACCGGTTTCCCACAATGCAGAATTACCACATTCTGTATGACTAATATACACAAAACAATACAAAGAAGAGTACTCCTGTGATCAAAGGGTGCAATGAGAAAACATGTGGACCTCTGAGTATGGGCTTGTAGAAACTGAGAGTAGTTTTCCACCTTCCTTCTTTGGCTCCATTGATGCTCTCGACACATTGAGAAACCTCCGAAAGGATTTGGGTGTTAACTGTTGTACCAGCATTTGGCTGCCAGTGCAAAACCCTGACATGAAACCCATAAATATACTTTACCTACCTACGGATATGCAAGCACAAAGAGTCGTGTTTTTCAACATGACCCATGAAGTAACAAATATTGAACTGTTGAAGCTGGCCAAGATCACATAAGATATTCGCTTCATCTCAGGACAAAGTAAAAGATTGAAACAGAAAGCAATACCATTTGATTGGCATAGTTGGTTCCAGAAAGCTTGAGCTTTGCTCAGCGAATTTCACTAATCTTTTACTTTTAGGAAGCCCAGGGGCGGAGGGTAGACCCACGGGTCAACGGACCCCCGGAAGAATTTTGTAGTATATATATATATATATATATGAAAAATTATTTTCTCCCTCGTTTGAACCCCAAAAAATATTTTCTCCCTTCCAAAAAATATCTTGAACTCCCAAAAAATATTTTCGTCCTCCCAAGATGACTCAGGGTCCGCCCCTCAGCTTACATGACGTATCAAGCCTTCATAAAAAAAGACACCGTTTGCAAACGAATTTACGCACAGAATTTTGGTCGAGCGCATGATTTTTTGGTCAGAAATTTGAATAAAATCTCAATCCGAAATATTTATGTATAATTAAGGTACGATTTTGATCCATTTAAGAGTTAAGGTGCCAAAATGAGACATTTGATCCCAAATTTACTCATTTCATTTTTTTGTAAACTTTTGTATAACTATTTTGCTTCAATCATCATTACTAAAGCACTATTTTCCGGATGATCCATAGTGAAAATCGCGTCGAAAATTGCATGGACCGACTGTTACTTCATAACAAAGAAGCGCAGACAATTTAGTGAGTCATTTTGCTTTATTCCATCATATTCTCAATACTAAAAAAAGTGAGTCTTTAGCTCCCACCACTATTTTGCTTGTGTATACAAAATTACAAAACACGTTTACACACAATTTAGTGTACACTCATCCTATGATGTATCAATACTTGCCATTATGTAGTATCCGCATATTCAATAGTATTTCCATGTCCTGTACATATCAGGTTTGGAGTCGGCTAACATAAATCGATTACATCAGTATCTCAACATCAGTATTTGCGTACCAGTTGGTAATTGGATATGAGCCTAACATTTCACACTTACGCATATTTGGTTCTGCAATCTATGTGCCAATTGCACCACCACAGCGCACCAAAATGGGTCCTCAAAGGTGATTAGGTATATATGTTGGATACGAATCCCCAACAATAATCCGCTATCTAGAAACTTTGACAAGCGATCTTTTCACCGCAAGATTTGCGGATTGTCACTTTGATGAGACAACATTCCCGTCGTTAGGGGGAGATAAGAAAAAGGATTTTTCGAAATAACGGCGTGAATTATCATGGTGTGTTCCTACACTGTCTCATTTTGATCCCCGCACCTCACACTGTGAAAGTGAAGTGAAAAGAATAATAGACCTACAAAATGTAGCAGACTCAATGCCTGATGCATTTTCTGATATTGCAAAAGTGACAAGATCACACATACCAGTTGCAAATGTGTGTGCAAGGTTAGAAATCCCCAAGGGAGGGCACAGTGCCAAAGTAGGAGGCACTGCAACCACACTTAGTGGAGGTGTGGTTGAGGTCGTGGCTCCTCAAAGGAAGAGAGGAAGACCACTTGGTTCGATTGATACTCGTCCAAGGAAGAAGAGGACGAGTACGTCACAACCTAATCCATTAATAATCGATGAACAACATCCATCCCATGAGATTATCTCTGATTATAGTTATGTCCACGAATCATTACTAGAGGACGCTCCGATGATCGGAATGATTCTGGAAAACAAGGAAATCTCTATGGATTATGAAAATGCACATGTGCTAATGGAAAGATCTTCCACACACATCGATGATATATTTGCATTTACAGTTGCTCAAATTATAGAGCATGATGATATCGAACCTCGCTTTGTGGCAGAATGCCAACAATGAGCTGATTGGCCTAAATGGAAAGAAGCAATCCAGGTTGAATTAGATTCCATGACAAAAAGGCAGGTATTTGGTCTGGTAGTGCTAACCCCACCAAGTGTAAAGCGTGTAGGACATAAATGGGTATTTGTCAGAAAGCGTAATGAGAAGAGTGAAGTCTTAAGGTACAAAGCTCACCTAGTGGCGCAAGGTTTCTCACAACGCCCTGGGATTGTCTACGAGGAGACATACTCTCCCGTAATGGGCGTTATCATGTTTCGATACCTAGTCAGCTTAGCAGTTTCTGAAGGATTGGAAATGCAATTGATGGATGTGGTTACTGCACGTCTCTATGGGGATCTTGATTCAGAGATATATATGAAAGTACCCGACAGACTGTTACTACCTAAATCAAGTGACTCTAAACCACAGAGTGCGTTTGCAATAAAATTGAAATGCTCACTTTGTGGATTAAAAAAATCCGGGCAGATGTGGTATACCCGCCTAAGTGACTACTTGATTAGGAAGGGATACAAGAACGATGAACTTTGCCCCTGCGTATTCATAAAGAAAACGAGTTCGGGATCTGCAATCATAACAGTATATGTCGACGACATGAACATAATCGGCACTCTTGAGGAAATAAGAGAAACCACAAGCTATTTGAAATCCGAGTTTGAGGTGAAAGACCTTGGGAAAACTCGATTTTGTCTAGGTCTTGAATTAGAACATCGAGTTTGTGGAGTATTAATCCACTAATCTGCGCATATCCAAAAGGTACTCAGGTAATTTAACATGGATAAAGCGCACCCTGCTAACACTCCCATGGTGGGCCGAGGTCTAGATCCTAAAAAGGATCCATTTCGTCCAAAGGAAGATGACGAAGAGACATTAGGAGCTGAAATTCTATACCTAAGTGCAATAGGCGCATTATTGTACTTAGCACAATGCACTTGGCTCGATATAGCATTCTCAGTGAACTTGTTAGCTAGATTTAGCTTTGCGTCTACGTAGCGTCACTGGAACGGTATCAAGAATATCTTTAGATATCTTAAAGGAACCAGAGACTTAGAACTGTTCTTTCCCTACAGAGAGACGAAGAAAACCACAAATGGAGTAGTGGCCACAAAGGACAAAACGGTCACCCCCCTGAAAACCCCAAATGATGACTTGGTAGGTTTTGCTGATGTTGGGTACCTCTCTGACCCCCACAAAGGCCGTTCCCAAACTGGCTATGTTTTCACAATCGGGAACACGACAATATCCTGGAGATCAACTAAGCAAACCCTTGTGGCCACCTCCTCGAACCACTCAGAGATCATTGCTCTACATGAGGCGGACTGTGAGTGTATATGGTTAAGAGCTATCATTACACACATTCGAAGAACTAGTGGTTTAAAGTCCACCACTAAAGAGCCAACCTGCATCTACGAAGACAATGCAGCCTGTATCGAACAAATGAAATTAGGATACATCCAGGGTGACAATACAAAACACATATCTCCTAAGTTCTTCTACAATCAACAACAACAGGCCTTCCTCAAGATATCAGGGAGGAGGTGTAGACTTCAGGGGGGTATTACACCCTCACGTTATACTCTTTTCCTTAAACCAAGCTTTATTTTTCTCCCATTGGGTTATTATTACTTTGTAAGGTTTTTAATGAGGTAACTGTGAGTAACGATCAAAGTAAAAAATCCAAAAGCACTCAATGAACGAAGTCCAATAAACTCTAGTCTCTTGTCAAAGTTTATTTTTCCCATAGGGTTTTTGTTACTTGACGAAGATTCCACAAGGCAACATGGAGTGCAACGTTCTATCTACAACCCAACACAAGGGGGAGTATTGAAGGAAATTACCTTTAATGTGCATTCGTTATAGATAAAAAGTGTATCTAGGGTTTTGTGTGCATTTAATTATATGGCCCATTGGCCCATGTCTTGTAAACACTATTTCCTCCTATTTAAAGGAGGCTTACTAATGAACTATTACACATGTTCCCCACAACAATAAAGAAAAAAACAAGAAAATGAAGATGAGGGGGGGATGATAAGATCACTTCTCCACATGAATACTCGACCTCGAATTTGCTCTCTCTAGAGCAATACCTTCGTCCAACCCAAGAATAAGCATATCACTTCTGACTCATCTAATCCACGTCTGTTTGGATCTTTCTCTCTTCCTTGCTTCTTCTCCTCACATCTCAACTCGTCTGACAGGTGCATCACTCGGTCTTCTACACACATGACCAAACCACCGCAAATGAGATTCACACATCTTATCTTCAATAGGTGCTACTCTCACCTTTTGTCTGACTCATCACGCGGTCCATTCTAGTATGTCCAAACCTACTGAAGTCATTAAGTCAACTTTATAAAGTACTAAAAACCTCCTCTGGTCATTTGTTGACATTGGTTCACATACATCTGAGTGTATGAGGTTCAACAAACTGTGAGCTCTTTCGCCTTTACCAGTAAATGGTGTTTTGGTCATTTTACCCAATAAACAAGATTCACGCTCCGCGGTTGATTCAAAATTAAAAAAGTCCAGAAATCCATGAGAATGAAGTTTTTAATGCACTTCTCATTTATATAGTCTAGCCTGCAATGTCAAATGTATGTTGGATTCGAGTTGTTAGATTTAAACCTCTTTGTAATTATGTGATAGATGAGCATTACCATAAAAAATCTCATAAAAATAAATAGAACACATGTTATTAATTATAAAATGAAATCCTTACTTGTCCAAACAAGAAACAACATTCATGGTAATGGTATGATAACAATTATCAAGTTCTGAAACTTAGCTTGTGAGCAAATTTAAAGTAAATGTCCCTATTGCCCAGCAGTCCAGTTTTAGTTATTCAATCGGTCTAGAACGGGGATTGATCGAAGGGCTTCGCAAAGGCATCTAGTTGAGCACATCATAAGGTGAGGATGACTAACTATATTGCTTATAATTAGTGAGTTAATTTCATAAAATTACCTAAGGTATTAAAAGTGATTTTCATGGATTATTAATGAGTAATAATGCTTAATGAAAATACTATTGATATGAGTCAATGAAGCATGATATACAAATTTAGAATAAATTGTGTATGATTATGTGACATGAAAGGAATGACATGATAATGGAATTAATTATGTAAATATTGTGATAAAATATACTTTTACATCATGTATGAAATTCATGAATGGATAAAAGTGATATTTTTTATATTGGGATCAAATTATATTTGGGTTCGAAAATCAATTGAAAAGAAATGTCAATTTGAATTAAGAACTTGATATGTTCTAAGACAAACCTACTAGTATTAAAATACTAGTCGGGAGAATAATATAATGGAATTAATCCTAAGGGATAGGATTGTGAATAGATTTGCCTTAAGTAGTCTTAAGAGATACTTTAAGGTT